TGTCGCGAATTGGCTCGAGTGGTCGAGCGTCATGCTCCGCTTCTGGCTTTTCGTAGTCCCCACGAGCCAGCCTTACATGTCCGATGGCGTCTCGACCTGGCGCCCTCGTTCGGAGGTAGAACGGTCGAGCCGCCGCCGATCCCAACTCGTCCCAGAAGATTCGCATTACCGCGGGGTGATCACTCAGAGCGGTGGGGCCGCGGCGACTCGCGTCATCGGCGGGCCGGAGCACTTGCTGCCCAGCCTGGCGGCCCTAGGAGCGCCTGCTCCGGCGAGGCGGAGGCGGCGGGCCCAGCGCCAGCGTCAGGCCGCCGTCGTTCGGCGGCAGGCGAAGCGCGACCAGCTCGACGAGGCCGAGGGAGAGACCGGCTACCTGGCGAGGCGTCGGGCGAAGCTGGTGACGCTGCAGCGCTACCAGCAGGCCACGAGGAGCTTCACGGAGGCATTCCCTCGGGCGGGGCAGGCGGACTGCTCGGTGCAGGAGTTCGACATGCTGCTCGAGAAGTACCTCATCACCCAGTTTTTCAACGTCGGTGCTCGAGCTCGCGAGGCCCGGGACGTGCTCTACGGCAGCGCCTGGGCGCGACGCGTCCCGGCTTCTCGCTTTCCTGCGGCCCTCAGCGCCCTCGACGGGTTCAAGAAGGAGGACCCAGGCAGCGCGCGCGATCCCTGCCCGTGGGAAGCGACGGCGTGCATCGCTGCGGCCACGATGATGCTCGACAGCTCTCTGGGACCGTTGGCAGCGGCAGCGGTCCTCCTCAGGTTCGACACCTACAGCAGGTTCGGGGCTCTGCTCAACATCAAAGGGCGCGACCTGCTCAAGCCCGCGCGGGGCATGAGACCTCAGCGGCGGGCCGTCGCGTTCTTCCCGGAGCCCGACGGCGCAGTCAGCAAGGCGAAGACGCAGGACGACACCGTGCTCATCGGCGAGACGCACGCGGACCGACAGTGGCTCAATCAGCTCCTGCCGCCACTGGTCAGCGGTCTCGGCGCTACCGACAAGGCATTCCCGATCGGCCAGACGACGTTCAGAAAACTCTTCGAGCAGGCCGTCAAGTCCCTGGGCATGGAGGCGTTGAAGTTCGTGCCCCACATGCTCAGGCATGACGGCCCCAGCCCCGACCCCCTCGCCGGCGTTCCGCAAGCACGGAAGATACCTGCGAGTGCTAAATCAAGTCCCGCTTGAAGTTTGGAATTCATACGCCGCCAAGTTGCACATTCTCTAGACCAACCTGCCTGGCAAGCCGCGCAATGCGCGACCATGGACCCACCCGCCCAGTCCCTCATGATCCATGGCCAAGAGTATTGTTGACGAGACTCTGGATATTTGGCCATGTCGTCTTTTTTGTGGAGTCTCAGCCGCGGCTGGGCCGACAGAGTTTCAGGCGAACTGAATTCTTGAACTGGCACGCTCGGGGTGGGTCGAGCGCACGTGCCAAAAATGATTGCAGTTCTCCCAGGCTCATCTACCATCCCATCGTCGGCGGTCTCTGTGAGTGAGGGTTGCCCTTCCTGAGCTTGTCGGCTTCCTCCGCCTCCCCTCTCTCGGGCTCTCTCCTGGGGTCCAGTCCTTTTTGGCCCGAGACGCTGTAGAGAAGGAAATGCCCAGTAGCTTCGCTTCCCTTTTTCCTTCAGCGAGTCGAGGGGATCGGCCATACATGTTGATCCGTAGTCTTGGTGTCCCCTCCCTGCCATCCCCTGCGCCAGCGTGTGTTTCAAGGCAGTGGCCATGTCTTCTTTCTTGTGGAGTCTCAGCCGCGGCTTGGCCGACAGAGTTTCAGGCGAGCTGAGTTCTTGAACTGGTGCGCTCGGGGTGGGTCGAGCGCACGTGCCAAAAATGATTGCAGTTCTCCCGGGCTCATCCCATCCCATCGTCGGCGGTCTCTGTGAGTGAGGGCTGCCCTTCCTGAGCCTGTCGGCTTCCTCCGCCTCCCCTCTCTCGGGCTCTCTCCTGGGGTCCGGTCCTTTTTTTGGCCCGCGACGCTGTAGAGACGGATATATATATATATATATACACATATATATATATACATATATGTAGTTAGCGCTGCGTCTGGATGGGAAACAAGCCAGCAAGTAGAGGCCGATCCAGGTTCAAAGCGCAGCACATCAGGCATGCCGAGCGCCGCAAGACGAACGGTAGGTGCGCAAGAGGCAAGTACGGCACAAACGGACCGAGGCATACAGAGAGAGGTCGGTTCGGAGAGGGCACCCTAATGCGTGTCGTGTCTGTTGCATGCTCTCGGGGGAGGGCAGCCTCGAACGATCCCACGGTTTGGGCTGTGCTGGCCGGCAGAGGGTTCCATGTTCTTGAAGGATATTGTTCCTGTCCTGGGTCCGATTGTCGAGAGAAGGAGGCCCGAAGGGCACCGGGGCAACTGCCACGCGGGTCGGGAGGAGCTCCCCCCCTCATTCCTTTCCCCCCCCTGATGTTTTGTCATCCTTCGGACGTGTGCACTTCTTTCCGGCGAGCACCATCGAGGAACATCCTTGATCACCGAGCGAAGAACCCGAAGCATGCACGGGGAATGGCCGTCCGAGCGACGGCAAGGAGTACACACAAAACGAAGTGGTCGTTCTGTCGGAGCGACAGGTCGGCCATGATGCGCGTCCGCGGGTCGAGAAACATCGGCGCCGTGGGAAGGGATGAGAAGGGGCCTCCTCCTCCTCCTCCTCCTCCGCCCTCCTCCTCCTCCTCCTCCTCCTCCTCCTCCTCCTCCTCCGGGGAAGACAGGATGTCAGATGAGGCGCGGGTGTACCTAGCTTGCCGCCCCCCCCCTCTCAGCTCCCCCGCCCTCCCGCAGCCGCGCGCACATGGGGGGCAGGGGAAGAAGGGAAGGCTTCTTAGAAGCATCGCTGCTGCTTAGAAGGCGCGGGGCTCCTATGTACATCAAGGCCACCGCCTTCTGAGAAACAGCCTCGTGTTAAGAAGGCTGCCCCTTCCCCTACAGTGGAAACCCATGCCACGAAACACCCTGCTTGCCTCCAGGGTGCCCCGGTTGTTTTGAATTCGGATGGTTTTGCCATGGGGAGCGTGAAGTTCCCACACCAACAATCAATGGGCGTCTTGGGGTCTCAGGGTTGGTTTTTTTGTGGGTGAAAAAGTTTCTTGTGGTCGAGTTCATACTGTGCATACCCCCTTTGTGTGCGCCGCCAGCTCCCATCGCACCCTGCCCTCGCTCCTCCCCTCCTCCTCCTCCTCCTCCTCCTCCTCCTCCTCCTCCTCTTCCTCCTCCTCCTCCTCCTCCTCCTCCTCCTCCTCCTTTTGGCTCCGTTGGCTCCACTGCCACCGTCACTGCTTTCTGCAATGAGGTAGGAAAAAGCAAGGAAGATCAGTCCTCGGCGAGCCCCAGGAAAGCCTCCAACTGGTTGAACCTCGGGCGACGCCAAGCAGGAAGACGCGACCCTTCCGCCTCCATGGCCAAGTATTCTTCCCAGGCTTCGTCCTTCGTCAGCAGCTGGCCCTTTTTGTTGTGCACGCCGTCGGCAGCCTCGTCCACGCTGGAGTCTGACTCCGACTCCAGAGCACCAGGCGATACTCCAGCGGGATAGGCGGCCCAGAAATTTGGCGAGCTTGCGGCGTCCACCCGAGCGCGGCGCCGCGCGAAGGGACGGATCGCTCGGCCAGGCCGCTCTTGGCCCCGGAGCCTCGGCTGCTTCTGCACCCCCTTGACAAAGTCGACGTCGCCCTGGCTGACGACGTGGACCTTCCCGCTCGGATCAGAACCCCCAGCGCCGTCGGCCTGCAGCGCGTCCGCGTCGGCGACCTCGGCGGCGGAGTCCGCGGCGGCAGGGCAGTGATCCCTTGCAGGCCGCTCTGCGCCGTTGGCCTCCAGCCAGGAGCGGGCGATGGCCGCGCGAGCCCGCCACCAGCCAAGCGGGCGGCGGCAAACAGCGCTGAGCTCCGCCTCTGGTTGCTGCTGCTGCTGCTGCTGCTGCTGCTGCTGCTGCTGCTGCCCGACCGCTCCTCCCGCATCGACGCCATGCATTCCCAAGCCGGCCGCCCCACCCTCCGAGCCGTCCGCTGTGGGGGGGAGGGACCCCACGGCGGGAAGCTGGCAGCCCTGCTCCTCCTGCACCGCGTCGAACAGCAGCAACGGCGGCGGCGTGCCTGCGCTCGTAACACCGCTCACACAGCTCGGCACCGATACATTCGCCACCTCCACCTCCCCGACGAAGAAGGGCACACCTCCTGACTCCTTCACGCTGCATTCGAACGGCTCCCACACGCCGCGCGGGATGAATGGAGCCGCATCGGGATCCAACACCGAAGGCGAGGGCAGACGGGGTCCCTTCTGCATCTTCCTGAGCTCCGCCGAAGTGGCCAACGAAACCCGAACTCCTGGCTGCGCCACTGAGTGCAGTGCCACGTTCCTCCAGAGGACAGCAGCATGATCAGCAGGGCGACCGTGGAGCAGGTCGGAAAGAGCAGGCGCAGTAGCCAATATACGATCTGACAGAACCGGATCGCCAAGAAACTGGGGAACATAACCACGGAGACGCACATGTTGGGCCTTCTGCACCGTGAGCTGGTCGGACAAACGCTGGATCGCCCGATGGGCCGGCCTGCGGGCCCACCCTCGGCGCTCTCGCCGTTCGGCAGCCGCGCGGCGAGGAACATCAGCATCATGTGAAGATGGACGCGCATCGCCCGCGCCCTCCCGAACCATTTCCTCAAGTACGACGAGCGAAGACTGCAAAAGCAAACCAGAGGGCCAAATGCCGCGCTGGCTCGAACAGCAGGGCTGTCGCTCGCTGTTGAGCGGCTCGAGCCAAAATGGCTACGGACCCTCCTCCTCCTCCTCCTCCTCCCTGCTCCTGCTCCTGCTCCTGCTCCTGCTCCTCCTCCCTGCTCCTCCTCCTCCTCCTCCTCCCTGCTCCTGCTCCTCCTCCTCCTCCTCCTCCTCCTCCTCCTCCTCCTCCTCCTCCTCCTCCTCCTCCTCCTCCTCCTCCTCCTCCTCCTCCCTGCTCCTCCCCCGCCCATTCGCGCCCCCCGCGAGGCCCGCGGGCGCGTGCGCGCGCGGCTGCCCCTGGCCGGTCTGCGGCCGCTCTGCAGGGCCGACGGCGGCTCGGCCAG